GTTTTAGCGTTTGCCTCAGGTTAGTGGTCTTGCCAGTCTACTAGTAAGGTCTAATACGAGTAGTGATTGAGGAGTATGTGAAGTGAAGGGTGCAGAATGCATCCGCAACGCGGCTTGACAGCAAGCAACATGATTGAGCTTGGTACTTAGTCAAAATCAAACAGTGCTCTGCATGCCTTGCAAGGCTAACACCAAGCTAAATCACACTAACAAACTGGTATAATACAATGTCTACTCGATCTTGGTTTATGACAAACCAAGACAAGGAACAAAGCTTTGGACATGTCATGATGAACCCCAGCAACCTGTGCATATTTCTCTATTACTTTCAAGCTACCGTCGTTTGCTTTCTCTACCATGTTTCCTCTTTCCCACAATCAAGAACCTGTACTGCCATACTTGAAGGCAATCACCAGTTAACCTCCCTGAAGGAAATAATCTCTTCTTCGCTTGCTTTCTACCCTGATTGGCAAACTAACACTTTACACCATGCAACATGCTATAAAACCACCATTGCCAAATCCAGTCTGCAGAAAGATACTCGACTTGGATTTTGTAAAGTCTAAGAGAAAAGCAAAATTTCTTCTACGTACTATACTGTGAAGGTCTTATCGCAAGCTCCAGACCCAAACTTGGAAAGCCATGGCAAAGGTAAGATCAGTTCTATCCAGCTTTTTAGATTAGTCATATTTCTGCAACATCCTTTGGTTTTGCTTTTAGAACAGGGGGAATGTAGACAAAATTACCCTTAGAATGTTGTACCGCCTCCGCCACCATAATCCTAAGTACCATCATCCGCACACTCTTCTATCATTTCCTGGAATTCTCTGTGAACATAAAACGGTTCATGTAAAGCTAGCATGACATCATCACTTCTGTCTATTGACATCATCTCGTTCTGATCTCAATGTTATCCCAATGCACAGGTCGATATAAACGTAGCGTTCCGCATGGTGATTCTGATCGTGGCAGCCTCTCTCGTGACATCAACACCATTGCCAACTCAATCACAATCGTCGACACCTTCATGTGCTCCACCCGTTGAAACGTATGAGGACGGTCTTCATGTGTTTCCCCCAACTGGAAAACATTTCGAGCAGGGCTGCTACTTCCCCGATACATATGTCTTTCCTCATCGATTTCCATCCACATGTAGCCTTCGATGGATTTGCTCTCCCGTCTCTGATGTCGATCCATCATCACCATCCTTCGTTGTCCCCTATCCGCCTGCCATTCTGGAAGCTGCACCCACAGCTGGAAAAGAACAAGAACTGGAGGAGTGCCATTGTATGAAGAGGACGTATGATCAAATGGTCTTGTTAACCCATGATGATGACAGACAAGAGCTGGCGTATCGCCGTACACTCATTGGCTATCGGCATTGCCATGGAGATCCTGAGAAGTGCAAACAATTCATGTGTTGACATGAGTGATCCGTTTTAATTAAAACAATTTCATCGAGAACTATGAAGACTTCCATTTGTGCAGGATCCATGGCACGTATTATATGTATAACATGTTTTTGATATTGTATGATACTTCTAAAACTTATAAGTGGAAAAGAGGACCAAAGATCCTTGGCTCTCCACCCGAGTCTAACTTCTAAAACTCAGAAATTATATACATGCACCCTAGAATTAATCATATTCGTGTTACACCATCTTTCAGGCAAAGCTTGTGACGCATTTTGAGTCTGTTCATCGAATATAATCTTCTAGGGACGCTTCCTCATCCAACGCCTTTGGTGACATACATGTTTCTCTTAGTTAATATTTAGATAGTATCTTGAATGACACTTCACCCATCTTGACTGCTTCAGTGTGCAATGTTACGTTTTCGAGCTAGAAAGAAGAGGTCCTATGGCCCAGTATGGAAGGGCGGGGGGGGGGGGGGGGTGTCTCTGTGCCAATGTGGTTCATGGCATCGACAATGACAAATAGCAACAAAACCTAACAGGGTAGTGTGCGGGAATTGGCAAATGATCAAGCCTTTTCTAACTGACTCGGTCACTGCAGAAGTCTAGTCTCTTCTTTGTCATTTTTCTCTCTGTCCCGTATGTTAATCCTCGGTCCTCCCCTGTCTGTCGACTTCGTGTAAGGATGTTTATTTCCCTGTTTGAAGCTTCAATAAAGGTACACAACAACAACAACAACAACAACAACAACAACAACAACAACAACAACAACAACAACTCTCTCTCCCTCTCTTGCCTCAACCATTCTACCTCACCGGCTTGTCTTTATCGCACTAAATCACCCCCTTCTTTTAGGCTATGGTGCGCAAGCCCAAGTTAACGCCGAGACCATAGGTCGGTGTTGTGGGTTTGCCTCACCAGCACAGGCTTGCTTTGCAGCCCCTACTCTCCCTGCTGTTTTGTTATTGTATTCTGTTGTCTTCTCCCCTTCTGACGAGTAGGTTGTGTACTTAGTAAAAAAAAAGAAAAAGAACAACAACAACGACGCCGACGACGACGACGACGACTACAATCACAACCACAACCACAACGACAACGACAACACCAACAACAACAATCGTGAGAATAAAGATTTGCAACTAACTTACTTACACACTACAGCTACGGAGGACTTCGCAGATGCCAATACAATAGGTGGGACATCAGGCATCGTGTCCAGCGGGACTTAGCAGCGGACAATGAGGGATTCTGCTAGTACTACTTGTAGTACTAAGTAATAGTTGTAGTCCAGGGCAGATGGGTCAGTGCAGTTCAGTGGCTCCTGCCGTCCTGGTGCAAGAGGCGATGGCATCACATAGTAGTAGCCAGCGCGGTCAGATACACTTGAACTCAGTCAGGGAGTCGTAAACGCTCTTCTCTTTACGACTCCCTAGCCGGCCCTGGTTGAACCTCTCTTATCCAGACACCTCCCTTATCCGGACACCTCCCTTTACATAGCCTGCCGGACGGATTTGGTGATGTCGGCAGAAAAATTGGCAGACTTGGCGACGATTTCATAATTTTGCCGGGTACTTTTTCTGGGATGTTTCATGCATGTTTGGTACATGATGTGGATAAAGAAATGGAGCAGAATTCTAGCTAGAAATGCCTGCCATCATAAGGTTACTGTGATGATTATTTCAAGTTCCAGCTTTCATGATCCGACAGATTGACGACTAGTCGACTGGGGCTATTTTATTATGAACCAGTGTCATGCTTGTGACGTTGTGTTGCCTCGGGCCAAGTAATGTCAGCCGTAGAGGGTCTACATGACCGCTGCTGTACAAAATGGCCTGAGAGCAGGGCCAGGCCGGCCTAGTATAAGGCTATAGCATAGCCTTCGCCGTCATCCCGTTTGAATGTGCGAAGTGAAATAAAAACCAGCCAACCAACCAACCAACTAGTGTAGAGTGTAGACCATGGTAGACTCTATGATGTTCACTGAGTATTCCCTGCATGCCCGCGACTCTATGATGTTCACTGAGTATTCCCTGCATGCCCGCTAGCTCCTTCACTTCACTCTCATATTCAGCTAAAACTAAAAAGTCTTTAGCCAGTTTTAAGGAAGTACCGGTAAGTACGTATATGTTATCGCATGGTTGCAAGGGCCTTATGGCAATAATATGCCATAAGGCCCGCAGCAACCATGCGATAACAAATTTATCACATGGCCCACAGAGCAGACCATTGGGCTGCTGTTGAAATTAGCCCAAATGCCAACACATTATGACCAAAATGTATATTGATGTGCTATCATTATCAAAACAGGAAAAATGAAGATATTTCTCCTACACCCTAACAAAAAGTCTGCTACAGGCCATCAGAGAGTATACAGTACTGAAAGACGGAGACAGAAAAAAAAGTGCCGGCACCGCATCGTCATAGCAATAGACATGGCAACGACAATAAATAGTAAATACAGCAGAATCATTATTATTTCAGTTGAAAAATTAAGAGTGCTACCACAAAGAGTTTCTTCATGTTTACATGTGTATCAGGAAGTTGTCAAATACAGTACTGCAACAAGTGCAAGTATTTGACGACTCCCTGGTGTGTAATTCTGAGGACAATTTTTCTTCTTCTTTTTTCAGCTCCAGATAGCTGTATTTTTCATTACAAAAATTCCTGAATTGTTGTGTTTGTTGTTCAAGCAAAGGTGAAGGCAGAGGACAGATGAGCCTGGTAAGAGTTTTGCGTGGCACATAAAGACCACACACAGGCAGTGGCTTTGCGAGGATCTGAAAACGCACGACGCTGAGTTGAATTTGTGTTATTTCAAATAATTGTTTGTGATCACAGTACCACTTCGAGCAGAACTGAATCTTATCCAAAAGCTTACCGACGGTCAGGCTGCCAACATGACTGAACAAATGATCCCTGCAAGCACCACACGGCAGACGTCCGAGGCCATGTCCATTGCCGGGATGTCCATCTCCAAAAAGAATTCCATCTTCGTCTCAATGCTACACTGCGACTCGTCGTAGAGTCGTACATTCTACAGAGTCGTCGTAGTCACGCGAGGAAAGCTGAGATCGCCACTTTCCACTTTCGACCACGCGTTCACAACTGCGCCGTACAGTCACCAGGTCACCATGCCCACCATGTTCACATCCCGTAGATTTCACGCGTACAGTCTCAGTCAGGGTTGTCACTGACGACGGGCTTTGGACGCGGGCGTTGGACCAAGAGTACATGAAAACCAGGGAGTCGTAAAATACCAATCCCTGATGAAAACCCCAAGCTGCACACTCTGGTTTTCATGTACTCTTGGTTGGACTGATTTATTGCCCGCTCATACAGACCAGTGATTGGCCCGATCCAAGGAAACACTCACGTGACATGTGATAAATGTACATCGTGCACGCGTGATCATGAATGAAGTAACAGTTTGTACTAAGTTTGTACTTGTTGTAGTTGTCTTCGCGGCTTCGGGGATGCATCGAAGATGTACGGTCCGGTCAGCGCACGTGCCACGCGGGAAATCTACGATCGATTGGCAACAACACGATTGTTCAAAATAATTATTTTAAAATTGTTGTCGTGTATTGTTGCAGAGCTTCGAGAAGATGACACTTGACAGCAGTACTTGGCATCTCCACAAGCGAGGTGGAGAGAGTATAGCTGATTCTGATAGAGTAAATACTTCCAAGGTGTAATGTTCCTGAGTGAACATCAAGTTAGTTCCTGCACTCCATAGATCAACTTCACTCCACAAGTCCCAGACAACAACTAAAGTTTATTTACATAGAACAACGAAAGATAAAGATGCACAACCAGGATCCATATATGTACACAGTACGGGAATGCATATGGGTAACTGATCCCGGAACGGATCGGGTACAACAACGGGACCACAACATCTCCCTTTTTATGTTCGAAGAGAGAGAGGTTACAGAGGTAACAGCTCTAAGAATATTTAGTCATATACATACAGAGGAGATAGGGTAGAGACACACAAATACTACATGCAGTTCACGATCATCAGCGTCAGCGACTGGAGTGATCATAGCATGAGCAATGACTAATGCGTTTACAGGTCGAGTCTGTTCAACGGCCGGGATGGACGTGCTGATCGGCGCAAGGTAGGCTGGAACTCGACATCAGCGGATGGAGGTTCTGCAGGTGTAGTGACATTCAACTGCGGTGTTGGTGTTGGTTGCACATCAGGTAGCAACTTGACGTGGCGACGGTTGCGGCGGTACTCGGACAGGTTGTCGGTCGTGACAATATAGGATCTGTCGGAGACGCGGTCTGCAATCACGGCTTCGGAAGCGAGATCTTGCACCCAGACTCGGTCGCCTTGGGTCAATGGTGGCAGAGATTGTGCTCGGTGTGACGAGTCGTATGTCTCACTCTGTCGGTCTTTCTGCCTCACCTCGAACTTCCTTAGCTTGGAAATATCAGGCCAACTTGGAGCGAGGGATTCCGCTGTACATGGGAGGTGTGTGCGTAGACGACGACCAAACAGGAGCTCGGCTGGCGAGTAGCCATTTGCGAGGGGTGTTGACCTGTAGTTGAGTAAGGCATCGTTGAGGCTGTTGTTGGTCTTCAGGAGACGCTTGAATGTTCGAACCGCTCGCTCAGCTTCACCGTTGCTCTGTGGGTAGTGCGGGCTACTGGTGCGGTGGGTGAGCTGCATTTGGGCTGTGAATGCGGCGAATTCAGCACTTGCGAACTGTGGACCGTTGTCCGACACAAGGACTTGAGGGATGCCATGGATGGCGAACAGCTCGTGGAGTTCCTTGATGACGGCTCCAGAGGTAGTCTTCCGTAGCGGGATGGCGTGAATGTACCTGGAGAAGTAGTCGACAGCAATGAGGTACTCCTGACCGTCGTGTTGGCAGAGGTCGACTCCTATTCTCTCCCATGGCAAAGAGGGAAACGCAGTTGGAGACAGAGGCTCTGGCGGCTGAAAACGATGCTTGGTGCAGGTCAGGCAGTTCTGCACGCATTCTGAAATGGCACGTGTGATACCTGGCCACCAGACGGAGGACTTCGCACGGGCCAGGCACTTGGTTATGCCTTGGTGGCCGTCATGCAAAGTGGCAAGTGTAGCTTTGCGCTCGGATGCCGGGACTACGATCCGAAATCCGTGGTACAGCAGACCGTCGTGAACTGAGAGTGAGCCACGTTCGTTGCGATAGGCTTCCAGGTCTGCGTTGACCTTGGTCGGCCAGCCATGGAGGGTATGCTGGATTACTTGTTGCAGGACTGGATCGTCAGCAGTGGCTGTAACGAGAGCGTGTTGCTTGGTAGGACTGCATAGAGACGACAGGACAGCGGCGATGGTGGCTTCCGAGTCACTGTGTAGGTCGGATTCGGTTGCTGGCGTGTCAGGAAGAGGAGCTCTGGACAGCGTGTCGGCGAGAACCATGTTCTTGCCAGGCACGTACTCCGCCTGTACATCGTAGCGCATGAGTCTGATCAGTAGACGTTGGCAGCGTAGAGGTACTCGGTCGAGGTCACGCGTGTTCATTAGTGGGACCAGCGGCTTGTGGTCCGTCTGAATAGTAAATCGGGGCGCTCCGTAGAGGTATTGATGGAAGTGTTCACATCCCCAGACCGAGGCGAGGAGCTCTTTCTCGATCTGGGCATACCGTTTCTCTGCTGCTGTCATGGTGCGTGAGGCGTACGCGACCGGCTTCCACTCATTGTCGTGGAACTGTAGCAGTGCAGCACCCAATCCATAGCTGCTCGCATCAGCCGTGACGATGGTTGGTGCAGACGGGTCGTAGTACGCGAGACACGGGGCTGAGGCAGCTAGGCGTTTGAGCTCTGTGAAAGCTAGCTCATGTGCTTCGGTCCATTGCCACGTCGCATCGCACCGGAGTAGCTCGCGCAGTGGGGCGGCTACGGTCGACAATGACGGCAGAAACTTGGAGAGGTACGTGAAGAGTCCGAGTGCACGACGGAGCTCTTCCACATCAGCTGGTGCTGCGAGGCGCTCGATGGCATCCAGCTTAACTGGGTCAGGGTGGACACCCTTGTCGCTGATCCGATGGCCCAGGTACTTTAGGGACGTGCATCTGAACTTAGACTTGTTCGGATTCAGTGTCAGACCGGCATCACGGAGTCGGTTCTCGACGGCGAGCAGAGCAGCATCATGCTCAGCCATCGATGAAGCATAGACGATGATGTCGTCTATGAACACTGCTACGTTGGGAATATCGCTGAGTAGACCTTGTAGCCGGCGCTGGAATATCTCAGGCGCGCTCGTTATGCCGAAGGGAAGGCGCTCGAACTTGAAGCGGCCATAGGGAGTGATAAACGTCGTCAGCAACGACGCTTCCTCGGAGAGTGGGATCTGCCAGAAGCCAGACGTGGTGTCCAGCGTGGAGAATATGGTAGAACCGTTGAGTTGTGCGAGCGTGTCGTCCACGGTCGGTAACGGGTAGTGCTCTCTCTTGACGCTGGCATTCAGGCGCTTGAGGTCTACGCATACACGCACGTTGCCGTTCGGCTTGAGGACCGACACGAGGGGTGAACACCAGTCGGTCGGCTGCTCGACTTTTGTGATGACACCTGCTTTTTCCATACGCTCCAGCTCGGTACGAACCTTGAGGCGGATGTGTATTGGAATGCGTCGAGCATTTACGCAGTTGTATGGTTTGCAGTCTGGCTTCAACTCAATCTCGACTGGCTTGCCTAGCATGCATCCGATTTTCGGCTGGGCATCTGAAGAGCCAACATGAAGACGTTGTACTAGGCCCATCAGTTCAGATGTCTGCCTGCTGAGCAAGTTGACACCACCAGTGGCAATGACCAGGATAGTGACTGGGTACTGTACATCACGGAACACAGCACAAGTGTGGAACTCACCCTGTATCGTGAGCTGGTTCCCATCAGGCCCAATCATACGTGTCTGGCACGGACTGAGTACTGGCGGTGCAGATAAACCGTTGTAGCTGGCCTGCGTCATAATGTTGAGATCAGCTCCAGTGTCGATTTTGAAATCGAGGTGTGAGCCGCACAGATCCAGTCGTACTACCCACGGCTCGTCAGCGGTGTGGGTAGAAGCAGCTCCAAGGAAATTTTCGCCGACGGGGTCCGACTGCAAGTCAAACTCAGCTACATGCACATAATCGTTGTGTGCTGCACTGGCGGAGGCAGACCGGCAGACGCTGGCGAAGTGTCCAGACTTACGACACTTGTTACAAGACTTGTCCTTGGCAGGGCATTCGTCACGGTTCGATTTGTGGTCTTTGGAGGAGCCACACCACGAGCACTTCTTACTGTTGCTCGAGTCTCGTTGGGACTTGACCTGTGGTCGCTTTCCCGTCGATCCGTAACTTGCGTAAGCAGGGGACTTGCCGTGTTTCCGTTGCGGTGAGGTAGCTGCAGCAGCTTGGCTCACCCGGGGCGTTTGCTGGGCGACCTCGGCGTTTACGGACTCTGTTTTGCGTGCCAAGCTCACGGCAGTCTCGAGTGTCAGCTGAGCGTGATCCTCGAGCTGTAGCTTCTTCGAAACTTCTCGGTTCGTCATATGGGCCACCAACCTGTCGCGGATACGCTCATCGGACTTGTCAAACGCGCAATATTTGGCTGCGGCACGGAGACGACGCACATACTCTTCCACGGATTCACCTGGGTTCTGGACACACCTTTCAAACAATGTCCGTTGGTGGATTACGTTTACACCCGGGCGAAAATACTTGTCAAAGGCCTCCAGTACCTTGTCGAGTTTCTTCTTATCATCCGCGGACAGAGATAGAGACTCAAAGATAGGATCGGCTTCGGCTCCCATGGAGTAAACTAAAGTGTCTACTTGGCGTTGCCCGTCCGCCTCGTCCAATTTGGACAAAGAACTAAAGCGTTCAAAACGGGTCTTCCAGAGTGGCCATGCTTCTGGGGTGGAGAAATCGAACGGGGCAGGTACAGGAAATTTGGCAGACGACATGACTAACTGCTACTTCTGACACCATGTAATGTTCCTGAGTGAACATCAAGTTAGTTCCTGCACTCCATAGATCAACTTCACTCCACAAGTCCCAGACAACAACTAAAGTTTATTTACATAGAACAACGAAAGATAAAGATGCACAACCAGGATCCATATATGTACACAGTACGGGAATGCATATGGGTAACTGATCCCGGAACGGATCGGGTACAACAACGGGACCACAACACAAGGGACTGCACCTGTGCAACAAATCGTTCTGCCACTACCAGCTGAAATAATTGCCGTTGTGTACACTAGCTCCAGGCCAGGGCGTAGATCTACGAAGGAACGTTTCTAAAATAGTTTTTTCTTAAGTTGACTTGACTTCCTTGTTTCAAATATTTCGACGCCCCAGTATGCCTCTTCCGAAACCCGACATCTCCAATGCGAAGGTTGGTGAAGTAGCGGTTGAGGAACTAGTTTGGATAGGAATACATTGTGTATGCATCATCGAGACTCTACGTGCTTTATTAAATTTTGTTGTTGATTCTGACACTCCCGCACATGCTTCAATAGTATACTACAGTAGTACCAAATCGAGAGTGATGTATTGCTGGCTAACGAAATTTAATATGAATACCGTATTTTCCGGAGTATAAAAGCCGCACCCAGATTTTTTTGTCATGAAATACAGACATCTACCCTATCTACCCTGTATATATCACCGTTCATTTGACCATTGTAGTATTAGGCTGTGTTTACATGAGGCGTTTCAACCCTGTTTGAGTTCGACCCGGGTCAGATTTCAACCCGCCAAGTGCACAAAATGAATGGCGCGTTTACATGACGCATTGCGCTTGACCCGGGTTGAAATTTCGCCCCTGGTTGATTTCAACCCTCCCCCCCCCCCCCAAGGGGAGGGTTGAAACCAATCCGGGTCAACAAAATCGTACAAACGTACTTCTGTGCGTATCTCGCGCCAGGTTTCAACAGCACTGCACATGCAATTTTCGCGCGAACGGATTCACGTGACCATACAGGACTGTAGAAGTGGACTTTTGGCGGCATATCAGTATTTGACCCGAGTCAACTGTCTTCATGTAAACGCTCAACTATTTCGTCTATCGTACAGACTTTCAACCCGGGCTGAACTCGACCCGGGTTGAAATTTCTCATGTAAACACAGCCTAAGCCGCACAGCTACAGACTTTCTTGGGGTTAATGACAGGTGTTTAATGTGCAGCTTATTCCAGAAGATATACAGTGAAACCTGTCTAAGACGACCGCTCGAGGGACCTTCAAAACGTGGTCTCTGATACCAGGTGGTCGCCTTATCCAGGGTCATTTGACTGGAAATAGCATCCCTTGGTCCTGGTTGCGGTGGTCTTCTAGGACAGGTGGTCGCCTTATCCGAGTGATCGCCTTGACAACAGGTTTTACTGTAGTACTCTAATTTGCGCTTGAGGAATAACTCGGTTCAAGCCTCCAGATATCCCAAGTGCATGTGCACATTGGTGATCTGCAAATATGTTTTGTGTATCTCTTTTAGACCCTATCTAAAGTACCATTCATTATACGGTAACACTGCCCCAAATCCGGGCAGGTCGGGACCAAACACTGCCCCAATCCGGGCAGGTCGGGACCAAGCACTGCCCCAATCCGGGCAGGTCGGGACCAAACACTGCCCCAATCCGGGCAGTTCGCGACCAAGCACTGCCCCAATCCGGGCAGGTCGGGACCAAGCACTGCCCGTAGCTAGGAGTTGCCTGTATTTCAGAACATATACCGGTATAGAAAATAAAAAAGGACCAAGGAACTACAAGTTACGCTATAATGTCCACTAACACCACCAGTTACTAAACAATCAGCTAGTGCGATAACATTGCACGGCACTGACCGACGGTACTGACGTTCTACAACCAACTGGCTAACAGCTCTAGCACATCTTGGATGCACACTCCAACAGCCTTCCAACTAGCGTAGCTGCACTCCGCTGGCAGCCATGTGCATGATGTGCAGTAATGCCTCAGAGGGTCTTGTCTGGTGTACGTTGGTTGTAGGTTGAGCCGGTCGTGGACCAGAAGATGGTGATCGGCGAGGGCCCGCACTGGGACGAGCCCACGCAGACGCTGGTCTGGGTGGATATCTACCAAGGACTGGTCATGATCTACGACCCAGCAACAGGAGTGGTACGTGCAAGTTAATTAAAGAGTGTAATTGGCACGCACCACACCACACGGAAGCAGTATACTGCTGGTTGTTACTGCATGGTGAATGCATGCACACACTCTAAGCGTGAGTCGTCCATTGCTAATCCTGTCGTTGAACGTCCTGGATGTCGTCATGTGTTTTCAGATCATTGTTCCTCTACGCTGTCACGTGTACGTACTGCAAATTATGGAAGCTGTCTAAATTCACACAAAGAAACGTGTGTGTTATGGTTCATACATGTGTTTGTATTTATTTTTCCCAGAACAAAGTATTTGATGCCAAGGAGCAGCTGACGAAACTGGGAGCGAAGGACAATCGCCTAACCGTGGGTGCCGGTAAGAGTGGCGTTTACCCCCCCCCCCCAACACACACACACACACACACACACACATACACACACACACACACACACACACACACACACACACACACACACACACACACATACACACACACACACACACACCAGACACACACACACACACACACACACACACACACACACACACACACACACACACACACACACACACACACACCGGACACGCACACATACCTACTGTTGTGTCTCGTATGGAAGCCTGTTTTGAATACAAGCCTGTCAGCACATAAGCTTGGTTTTGTATTGACATACATAGAGATATTTTGAAGTACGTGCTTTGAATATAAGCCTAGCACTGACATCGGCTTCTACAGGAGTGAGCACGGCTTTTATACGCGACATTGCGGGTATGTGCATTGCTGTTCAGCACTCAGAGAATCATTTCTCCCGTACGAGCTGCCCCCCCCCCGCTGACCTGTCGACTGCGGTACAGTCTGTACAAGACCTGTGTCAGTCAGTGTTGGTCTCCTCTTTTGTCTCTACCATTGTTTGCTGCTTGGTGCAGCGATACCAATTGCTGGTCAGCCTGGAAAGCTGCTGCTCGCTACGGGTAACCACATTGGAACGTTGGACACGTCAGTAAGTTAGTTGTCAGATGTGAGCAAGAAATGCCAGTTGTGCGTGCGTGTGTGAGTGTGACTTCGTTAGTTTTCCAACTGCAGGTGGATCTAGCCCATGCGCGGTCCTTGGATGTATGCTACTTGGTCTGGTTCATCGCAATTGTCGCTTATCTATCGCCACCGTTTAGGCGCTGCATCTGCGCCTTTGATCCTCGGCTCGGCTTCCAGCCGAGTCTCACGCGAACCGTGAAATTTATTTATTTATAGCCACCAAGGACAGGAGGTTTTTTTACCGCTGTGTGAAATTTCCAATAGGCATAGTGAAGAAGCATGATACATGAATACTCTCCGCCACAAGAAAAAATTTCAGCAATCGAATCTGATGAAGCGAGTCGAAGAAAGGAAGCAAGGCCAAGGTTACAAAAAATGTGCAAAAGGGCTGTGAGGTATGAGGAAGAGCAAAATGACAGGGGTGACAGTGTTGAAGCTCTGAGCAGACGGCGTCGGCAAGAGTGCCTACACAGAGAGTAGAAGATGGGAGAAGAGAGGTCCCGCCGCCTCGAGAGTCGCCGTGCTTGCGAAAGGCTATGCCGACAACAAGAAACAACGGAGCGAATATCCCGTCATTTGGAGACTATGCATAAGATGTTTGGGATTGGGAATGCCTCTGTCCACTGTGTAAAGTAGTCACAAATGACCACAACATAGCGAGTACCATGAGCAGATTGCGGTAATGGACCCATAATATCGATCGCGATTCGTTCCAAGGGAAACGTTGGCTGATCTTGTACGAGAGGGGCTCACGGTCTTGGTACAGGTGCTTTCCGGCTCTGGCATACGGAACAGGCATTGCAGAAATCCTTCACATCAGCCGATAAGAAGGGCCAGTAGCAGCGTTTGCGTACTTTATCCAATGTGCATTCAATGCCCAGGTGACCACCAGAGACGCCCGCGTGCAGAGCTGTCAGGAGGATACCGCGAAGAGTTTCCGGCACTACTAGTTGGCAGACTGGTTGTCCATCATCTGGGTAGAACTTGCGATATAACACACCATCTACTAGCTCTAATCTCTTCCATTGACCCCATAATCGAAGTAAACCAATGCTAGCCGATTTCATAGCTCGATCACTGCGAGCTGGTCGGTCGCGCAATTCTTCTATCCAGCCAATGATCTTCATGATGTCAGAGTCGGTGTCTTGGGACTTGCGCACCTCCTCTGTGGAGAAGGTGTCAGCCCAGCTACTCTCTGTGATTGCCGGAGTATCAAGGTTGCTATTCACTGCACTGTCACCATCACCTCCACAGCTGCATCATCTGTGGTGGGCAAGTGAGAGAGAGCATCAGCGTTGACATGGTTCTTGCCTGAACGGTGTTCCACTGTATAGTCAAACGCTTCCAGACACTCTAGCCATCGAGCGAGCAAGCCATCTGATTCGCAGAATGTCTGCAGCCAAATCAGAGCTCTGTGATCTGTGCGTAGCTCTAATGTGGCGCCGAGCAGGTAATGTTTGAAATGTGAGTTGAACGTGACGACTGCCAAGAGTTCCTACCGTGTACTGCCTTGCTTCCACTGAGCTTTGCTGGCATATGTAGTGCGTATCGTAGCGTAGATTTAGACAGAGCAACTAACCTTGGACATCCTGCATGGCACATTCATGTAACTGTAGTCCTCCACTTTCTTGACGTGATCTTCACTTGGTAGCTATACCGGTAGTAATTTCCTTCACCACAAGAATTCATGTGTATTTTGCCAGTAGAAGAGGCTTTCAGAGATCTGGAGCGCCTAACGAGTTAAGATATATGTTGGAGAAGGCTGCTGCATGCTAGCCCAGTGGGTGCTAATCTCCTACCTTCGGCCGAGTGCTGATGGAGCGGAGTAGAAGAAAAAAGGAAAGAAGAACATTGCGTTCAAGAATACAATTTCGGTAAAGGATATACCGACAAGTGGCTAGCTAACTAAAACTGTTGATTTTTGTGGATTTGTTTAAAAGACTTTGTCGCATTGTGCGTCGAATATTTAGCGCAATTTAGCTGTATGGTTTAGGTCGTAGTATTGTAATTTTCGCGGTTTGATTTAAAAACACCTTAGACGGTGTCGCAGTATCGTTCGACTATTTAGGGGTGTGCTGCTAATAGGCCGGGAATATAAGGATCGGGTAGATTGCAGTGTTTTTAATGGGCGTGGTTGTTGTATAAAATTAAAATATAATGCTGAGATCGTTAACAGAGGACTATGAGGAAGAGCAAAATGACAGGGGTGACAGGGTTGAAGCTCTGAGCAGACCGCGTCGGCAGGAATGCCTGCACACTGTACACAGAGAGTAAAGGATGGGAGAAGAGAGGTGCCATGGCTGGCCCTATCCCGTACACGTTCCGTACCATGCCGGCAAAGACTGCTGGTCACATGTTGAAAAAGGGCTTTCGACTGCAGGATCACAAAGTGACACAACTTGGTAGAATGTGCATGTAATTAATAACGAATTGTATGGAGGGAATGCGTGCAGCGCAGGGCGATAGTGTCTTTGTCTTTTGTTCAACTGCCGTATAAAGTTCTGTGTGAGTATGGAGTCCTCACTACTTGTGGTTTCTTTCTTTGGCCGTCGCTGCTACTGTGCTGTTGCTGCTGTGCTGTTGCTGCTGTGCTGTTGCTGCTGTGCTGTTGCTGCTGTGCTGTTGCTGCTATGCTGTTGCTGCTATGCTGTTGCTGCTGTGATTGGTGTGTGTGTGTGTGTGTGTGTGTGTGTGTGTGTGCATGTAGAGTGGTGAAATTGAATTCAAGAGTGAATATTCAGGTAAGAGTGATACCAAGAATAAATAATCTCCCAAGAGCGTGCAACTCCACATAACTCCATTGCTCCTTGTCTCAATGCCATGCCCGTGACATCCGTTGCTCCTTGCTTGATGATCTTCTTGTGTGTAGATGGTACTGACGACACGCGCTTCAATGATGCCAAGTGTGATCCTGTAAGCGGCAATGTGTATGACGTTAAAAACATAAATCTTTACTTCAATTCCGTTTGAAAGTTCATCTCAAACCACAGGAAAGTGTGGTGTTTGATTTTCCGCAATGCGCGAGTTGTAGCAGCACTAATAGGCTAGTATGGTGTCATGAAGGCAGCTTGCCTTGCATCTTGCCCATAGAAAAATGATCACAGTTGCATTATCTTGGCCATGGTCCTATGGATCAAGAGTAACACCGGGGAGCCCTACACATGTGTAGGGCTCCCTGAGTAACACCACTTTGTTACCCCATTATGTATATATATAGCCACTCATAAACAACACTAAATGTGACCACTTAATTTGTCGTGGAGCCTCCGTAGCCTAATGGATATGGCATCGGCCTCCTAAGCCGGGGGTTGCGGGTTCGAATCCCGTCGGAGGTGTAGCTTTTTTTCTTTCTAAATCAGATTTATTGAAAGTTTCGAGCTCCTGCGGCCCAGCTGTCTTTTTTAAAAACTTTATGATTGTGGGGAAGTTTAGGTGCATTCCTGAGCTCATCGTGGTATGGCATGATGACCTGCCGTAAGCTGAAACTTTGTCAGAAAGGCTTCCAAGTCCTCTCCTCGACCACCCGTGAAACATTTCACTCGAGGCAACGAACTCGCCGATCCAGACATACTCTACGCTCGTACAACAGCAAATCAAACTAGGCCGGGTTTCGGTACCACTTGTTGGGGAACTGCACCCACACTACAAACCCACGGACACCACAACTCGCACAAGGAGTTCTAAAATAGACTATATTAAATATTTACATCGTTTAGAGAGTGAAAGTAAAGCTAAGCGCAAGACACAACTCCTTGCAAACTTCGTCAAGACACAACAAGAACACAAAAGCAAATCTGCATGCGTGCAGAACGGCCTGGGTCCCGGAAGCATGTCGGGACACAGGAACACAAAGTGCATGCATGAGTGCATACACGGAACAGCATACACGTGCGCACGCACGTGACAATGATTACTAGGCAGCGCACATGAGGAATGCTTGCAGCACAACGGTACAACGGGATACTCCATTTCACCTTTAATCTTCAGCTCGCAAACCTGTTCTCAAATGAATTGTTGTTCCCAACGTAGTTTCTTGGCGTGAGTGTAGAGATAGCATTGGGGTGGGGTGCAGGAGTCTCAACCAATCAGTTTCTACATCTCCACACAGTGCGTATGCTTCACAGAACGCCGCTCGATCATTATTGTGCGTACTGTATTTCCCCGGATATAAGTCACACCTTTTTACCCTAAACTTCAAGGGCAGAGAAGGAGCTGCGGCTTGCAGTCGAGTGTGACATCCTTCTTGTGTGAATGTGAAAAGGGCTCAAACTTGAAAGTAGGGGTTCGACTCGTAATTGGAGAAATAATAATTATGGTACATGAACACATAAGTACACGTCCACGCACTAAACACTGCAATTGGGTTTTACTTGATTTTATTTTAGAAGTGTTTACTGTCGTCGGAGACCGTGTACAAAGGCACACACTCTTGAATGCTGAATGTATCTTAGCGACGGTCGCAATCTAATCTTCAATGTCTGTGTGTGTGCTTTCTTTGTTGTCAGTCTGGCCGCCTCTGGGCTGGTAAGTATTATGTTGTAGTACGTTATTTTGTGTACGTCGTGTGTACGTGGTGTGTATGTCGTGTGTACGTGGTGTGTATGTCGTGTGTACGTGGTGTTGATGCATGAGCGTGTTGCTGTGGTGTGAAAAGCAGTCTTTGTCTTCAGTTCGCCGTGTCCAGTTGCGTTTCGTCGTCGTGTCAGTAAAGTCTTTCCAAATGAATTAACTCTTCGTCTTGTATCAGTGTGGAGATGCGGGGCTGGGAGCAGGTGAAGAAAGTTCAGTTACAACATAAACTCACAATGTCCTGCATGTTTGCTGATTTTCATTAGCACTGTTCCAGGGCATGGTTGATGCACTTCTAATCATTTGTGTATAGTACAGCTGTAGGTTTAGAATTTTGTCTGATTTTCTTTTGCTGCGGCTGCTGCTGCAGGCTCAATGAGTTCGGAAGTAAACGCTAAGGTGCGCGATCCTGAAGCTGGCAATCTGGTACGTTTGATTTCTCTGCATTGTCGGCTGTGCCATGCACCCCCCCCCCCCCTACACACACACACACACACATACACACACACACACACCTCAGTACATGTAGTCTCACTGCACTCTGATGTGCTAAAGGGTGGTTGTTGCTACATGTAGTCCACTCTATGGCATTTCAAACCTGCTCAAACCAGTTGATCAGTTAGAATACATTCCATTTCCCCGGTAACTCTCGAATCTCACTCCAGCCAGTAACATTTCGGAATGCTTTCCCAGCACTATAATCACCAAGTTGCTGTGGCCTTTTTGCTGCGTAAGTCTTCCAGAAACCCGGGCATGGAATGCAATTCACCTTGCCGATTGACCTGTGGAGATCTGTGTGGGTGACGGTGTACTTCCGACCCATCGATGCAATCCAAATGTCCTGAAGAGCAGCATTAAAAAATATATTTTAGTCGCTCCGCCAAGGCACTAAACGGTCTGTGTTCATTTCTGGCGGTCAACTCTCCTGACCAAAATGTTCCTATTTAAAATGTCATTCATTCCCTAATTCAATGTACCTGTTGTGCGTACATGGAATTCTTTTTTTTCCATTGCAGTATTTGGTTGACAAAGGATTTGCTGTGTCGAGCCCAAAGGACAGCAAGGTAGGGACCGGCTTGTCTTGACATTGGATATTGTCTTTGTGGTGGGTCTGATCTACTCACCTCCCGCCGCTTTAGGAGCTGCATCTGCACCTTGATCCACAGAGGGTGGTGGTGTTCCTACGGATGCAGAAAACTCACCCTCTAGCGAAGTCTCACGCGAACCGTGATTTTGTTTGTTTGCCAGGCCACGGGTGTTTCGCAGTGGCCACTCGTCAAGATGGCGGCAAATCCGAGAGTACAAATATTTCGACTCTGCCTATGTGCGCGGCGGATGCGAATCTCGCACGTGCATGCAAAATTAGCCTGCTGCAGAGCTGGGTAGAGCAAGTGTGTAGCCAGTGTAGGAACGACGACCTTTTCCGAGAGAGAATGTGGCTCTTTTCATCCCAACATTTTACTCGCCACGCTCTCCCTCCCAGCTTATTGATACGAGTATCTGCTACCGAGTAGAAGTCTTCATCTTCACAGTAGGCCAGGCAGAATCGCAAGATTGAAATACTTTGCTCACTTGGGTTTTTGGTCCTTTGAGGTGTTGATGTGATTGTTGTGTACAACTCGAAGTGACACACTTGAGACCCCCGCGCCACAAAGTTTAGTTTGGCTGTTCAATGAAAGGACGTATGGAAGCAGGGATGAAAACTATCGTGGCTGCCGGCAAAACTCCTAGTAATGTAAGAAACGGGGGTGTGACTTTGGTAATTCCAAGGAGAATGTACGCACGGCCATTCCACAACGAAGACGAAACTACAAGCTCAAAAACACTCCGATTTTCAACAAACGACGCGGGAAAGAAGACATGGCCGCAGTGTTCCCGTGTGGCCTTCAAAACACCTAATTTTACTTCGATAGCGGCTGGTTCAGGGCAAATTCGACAGCGTCGTACCGCTCAGATTCGCCCAAAACACGAGGAAATGTACGGTAAATCCAAATGCGTACGCATTTTAGTGATGTAAGGAATATTAGGGACCTTTCGCATTTGCTACGTATCGAATGCGAAACGAAAGTTTGATTCGGTTCGTAATCGTTTCGTTGAGAACAGACTTCAGTTTTCGCAAGTCGTCATGCAAATGTGCATGGCAACTACGAATACGGCCAGTAGCTTGGCGTACGGGTGTTTACATGCACACGTGCATGGATCATGGAATCAAGGGAAAAAATGTGTACCTGGCAAAACATGTGTAGCTGGCCAAATAAATGTGTACCTGACGGATTCGGAGCGTGCCACGAATGAAGAGGCTTCCATTCGTGAAAACGAGCTCTCCGCAGAGACTCTGACGAATCCTCGAACCCAGGTGACGAATCAGCATTCGTTTCATATCCGTACGCGTGGTGCGAAAGGTCCCTAATCTAGAATTCCAACACCAGAAAGAATATTCGAGTGCAGGCAACATTAATCGATATTCGAAAATTCGAAAAATTGGCACTTTTTGGTTGTGTTATTTAGCTCCAACCTTGATCTCCTGAACAGTATTGAGGATGACAGTATATAAAATATTTTCTGAGAACTGTGAAGCTTGTTCTTGAGTAAAGTCCGTTCTGTAAGCAGTGGGAATGTGATCTGTGTGCAACATGAATGTTGAGTCTGATGGAGTGAATTGATCGACGCACATCACAAGAATAATAGAGTATTCGTTCGTTCGTCAAAGCAAAATTCGTGAGATTATTCATTCGAAGAAAACACCATTCGTTACATCACTAACGCATTTTGCGTACGGGGACGACTGGCCAGAGTTCATGCACTGCAAACACCCGTGAGGCGTGCCTTACGATCTCCCAGGCGCCGATTTGTATCTCTTAGTGCGTTGGTACTCGCAAGTCTATTCAAGTCAAGGTTGGATTTAGACTCCTGGTTGGTGCATTTTCAGTTTTGTTTGTGCTGCTGAAGGTGACTGTGTGCCGCACAAGCATACGGACAATTGTACATGATATAAGCAAGTGTGTGTGTGTGTGTGTGTGTGTGTGTGTGTGTGTGTGTGCATGTGCGTGTGCATGTGTACATGCACGTTTGTGTGGACGTTCATCCGCATGTATGTGCATGTGTGCGCGCATGCGGCTTTCTCCCTTTCAGTTTGCTATCGCGAATGGCCTGGCATGGTCAGCTGATGAAAAGACAATGTACTTCGTAGACTCTACCCCCGGGTATGAGCTGACTGTGTCATTATGCTCTTATGTAGGAAGGTAGCATGGGTGTAGCGAATGGCCTCTGCGGCCTTTGACCACTTTGTGGTGGGTCTGATCTACTTTGAATCCTTATTACTGTAAAAGCCATAATTATACATAACGAAGTGCTAAATCTAACGAGTTAACGAGGAGAAATCTGTCGTTAAAATAGAAATCGTTATACAGAAATCTATACATATCCTGTTGATATTGAGCATTGAGAATGAGTGAGAATCGTTACCTTTGGTACGCGTAAAACAGTCCATTTTAGGAAATCGTTATATATGCACCTCGTTAGAATAATGGCTTTTACAGTAACTTAAGGGTGGTAGCTTTTCAGCGGATATTGAAAAGCCAGTCTCACCGACTTTACAGAAACCATGACATGTATTATTAAATAGAGAGAACTTTCTGCGCCATAATTATATCTATGTGTGTCAACTCGAACGCCAGGCTGATGTGCCGAATTGTCCAGCCTGAAATTCGGTCTTGTATTCTGAACGGGCGTCTTTACGAGACAGGCTTTACTGCAAGACAGTATGGTATACAAATGTTGCGGGAGACCTGAGGGACCTGGGTAACGTCGCTACATGTTTCATGTGTCGGGCAATGCTGTATAACACATTGAGTTCGGCGTAACTTTAAGTTGGGTAATTTTGGTAGAGAAACTAGGCACCTAAAATTTAGATTACAGGTTTTACTGTACTTGGAAGTAGATCTCAGAATGGCTTTGATGGATAGTGTATTGCACGGTACTATCAACATGATGTCATGTGCCAACGCGAATCTCTTCATCAATATGCTTGTTAATTGTGTGTGATCCTGATCGACTTTCAGGGCCATCTATGCGTATGACTATGATAACGCCAATGGCACTATCTCTAACAGGCGCACCCTGCTGGACACCTCCGGTCTCGGCATTGGCGTAAGTAGGGGCTTGTTGTTGTTAAAATCCATGAGCCCCTCCCAGTGACGGGCTGTTACGTGAAAACCACCTGTTATACAGTAGTTGTGTTGGCAGATAGTAGAAAAAAAGAAAAAAAATGAAAAAAAAGATGGCGTACCTCCTTTGTTGCCTTGTCATATCCCTGAAGATGCCCTCTTGGGCGAAAATTTGGAAAGAGTTTGAAGTTTGTTTTGGAGATGTTTTGGAGGTTTTTTTCTTTTGTGTATCCAAGGACTTGATGCGGCCGTGGGCGGTAGAAGTTCCAAGATAGTAAAGCGGTCTTTTTATGCCTCACTGCGCAGTGTGGAAAAGCGCGAACTGTGTATGGCGACGGCCGTGCGATATACATGTAGGAAGTAATAGAGCTGTTCCGTGCTAAGTAAAGTTGAGCAATGCCAAAACTGGTCACGTGGGTCTCCCCGGGAGAGGGGAGAGAGACTCACGTTAGTGAGCGGGAAGACCCCGTGAATTCGCGAGTTTGCACTCCACTTACGGAAAGTCTTAGTTGAAAGATCTGGATGCTAACGAAAACTGCTTACGTTGTATTTTTAAAGGGCAAATGTTTTTCCCGGTGCCCTACGTATATAGTAAGAATTTCCCCAGTGGCTGTTCAGTGCCTGGCCATTCAGTGCCATAAAATAAATTTCATCCAAAATCGTACACCTTTTCCAGACATCCACCAAAATGGTTGAATTTCCTCATGTGGTGAGGTAACATGAGTGAAACTTTACGTAGTGTAGAGTCTTAGAAGTTCTGTCAAATTCCAAAAGGCTCTTTTTCCGGATCTGTTTTCAGACGGAGGGTGAATTTCAGGCAGTGCCGGATAAAACGGACGATATGGCAGAGCAGGCAGCTGTGCAACTTACGATTGAGTGGGACTATAAAATTGCTCAAGTGTCCTCACTGAAATTACAAGACAGGCTTATTATCGCGGAAATGCGGGCGCTACATTGTCAGTTTTTCTACATGCAGTCATGGCCAGAGACATCCAAGACGAGAGTCAAGAATAGCGTCGTTGATTTCAATTACACCGTGCACGGGCCGAAAGCCCATCCGAGGGCCACATGAGCCGTGGCGCTGCTTTCGGCTCACAGGTCGGATTTCTAGGATAAGTATACTTCATAGAAGTGAAGATGTAAAGGGCAATCATGGAGAGAGAAGCTGAAGAGACACGTCAGCGCTGTCTTGGCAATAACGGCGTTTATATTACACGACAGGATAGAACTGGTCAAACCAGTACCCAACTTAAGACACACGTCAGCCAGGCAGACGTAATATAGAAGAAGAAGACTGATTCATAATGAGGTAAGACATCGTCATTATTCGTCATGCATGCATCGAAGGAACGTAGAACTTCACACATAATAGAACGTAGATGGTAAGACAATAATGTTAATAGATCAATCTACAACATTCCTCCTTCCTTAAAGAAGTAGTGAAGTGGGAATAGCAATAATGCACATACATAACCCAAAATGCAAACAAGACATCGGAGCAAACTATATACGCGAGCAAGTCCTTATATCAGACTAACTATGACACAATACTATGCTATTATAGACAAATAGCGGAAGAGGACACACTATGGCAATGTAAGAGTTGCTAGGCGAGTCACTCATGACTAATGCTAAGACAGTCACTCAATACTCACAAATTCAAACGATCAGGGGCACGACGCACTCTTGACGGATAGCGCGGTGACACTGGAGTTGATGAAACAGGCACTGACACATCAGGCATACTAACAGGAATATCGACTTGAACTGTATCAGACACACAAGGAGTAGCAGCAGTAGTAGACATACTAGGAATAGCAGTAGCTGATGTATCAATGACAGTGGACGACGGAGCTGGCGGTGAAGCTGGTAACTCAGGAGTCGGAGTTGCTGTAGCGACTATAGGAGTAACACTTGGCGCAGACACTGTTGGAATGGTGTCGGACTCGGCCGATAAACTAGCAGACTCAACTGTTCTTGACTTTAAATGATCGATATGCACTTTTGGACGACTCTTCCCTCCAATACAGAATAGGTTATCGTACTAAGCCGTTTACAAATCAAACCTTCTAGCCACTTCGGCTTAGAACCAGGACGAGCATTGTACCGTGACCCACACTTGTGCATTCACGGTGAACTCACGAGCCGCAGTACTGTCGAGTTCATGAGCCTGCTGGATAGCCGTGGCGAAACTTGGTTGCAGCACTGCCAAACGCGTGGCAGTGGTTTTCTTCAACAGAATACTCGCGGGACTCTGCTTAGTAGCACTGTGCGGCGTGTTTCTGTAGTCGAAAAGAAATCGAGACACTTGCACGCACACATACACATGGTGAGGTCTTGCTCGCAAAGCCTTCTGCAGTTCCTGTACCATCCGCTCACACTGTCCATTGCTGGCGGGATGATAAGGCGGTGTGCGATGATGCTGAATATCATTCTGGCCACAGAAAGTAGCAAACTTGCCAGAGGCAAATTGCGGACCATTATCAGACACTAGCACTGTAGGGATACCGAACGTACTGATGAAGCGTAGCAAACGGTTCACTGTCTTAGTAGTCGTAGCGGACAACCCAAGCTCATAGACTTCAATCCACTATGACCAGAAGACGTAAGACAATATCGGGAATAGATCAATCTATAACACTTCGCTGTCACACTGTTCAGCTTCCTGCTTCAATCCTCTACCAGCGAGGTAGGGCGATGCCTTGATGCCGAATACAAAACGTAGGAATTCGAATTCCTGGATGGAGTCGCTGGCGGGTGATTTCCAAAGGAACGCATGGTACTTTTGGTCTTCCAGGCTGAGCTGTACCTGTAGGAACATCTCTGAGATGTCGCCCGCTATTGCAATCAGTTCATGACAGAAGAGGAGGATCACTTGAACATTGTTCATGAGATTAGGCCCAGCATGCATGAAATCGTTGATGGAGTAGCCATGGCACTTTGCTGCCGCATCGAAAACTACTCGGACCTTTGTCGTTGTTGTATCTTCCCGGACCACAGGGAAGTGTGGCAGATACCAGCGTCCAGAGGAGGAATCGACAGGTTCTGTTACCTGGCAGATGTAGGCCTTCTCCAGGTAGTTGTTGAGGACCGTAGCATACTGCAGATGGCCTGGCGGCTGTTTCTCCAGTGTCCGTTGCGATGAACGCAGCCGATGTTCAACTTATCTGTTGGATTGTACATCTGGTTTGTTGCCGCCTTTCCAGGGGATTCCTAGCTGGAAGCGCTCGCCATCATAGCTGATGATGAGAGCTGTCAGACTTTCTGCCTCTTTCTCGTCCCGGCTCACATGTGATTGCGTAGTCTGCATACCAACGGATTCCAGGCTCCACAGCTTGGCTCCCATCCTGTCCAGCTGTTCTGTGTTGCTTGACTCAGGACCGGCCAACAATGTCAACTCGTGTGATGCTGTATCTTCCGGCATAGGACCGTAGCATATCCAGCCGAGAGTGGTGAAGCGTGCTATCGGGCCTTCCTTCGCGCTACACCGCCTCAACTGGTGTATGTCTGCTGGCATACAACGTCATATCGTCAGCGAACACCGGGAGCTTGCAAGAAAAGGCCTGTGCTGTCAATGGGAGCTTCCGTACATAGATGTTAAGCAGAACTGGACCCAGAATGGTGCCCTGTGGCATGCCACAAGCGATTGCCACCAACGGAGACTTTCCAGTATGGGTAACCACCCCCTGTTGTCTGCCACAACAGTACGATCGGAACCAGGCCAAG